TCTTCTTGGCTACCTGGTACAAACTAGCTCTTGTATAGCCACTGTCACCTGCACTCCCAGATCCTTTTCCTTTGGGCAGATTTCCAGCCACTTTTCCCCCAGCCTGTAGCACTGCAGGGTGTTTTTGTGACCAAAGGGCAGGACCTGGCCCTTGGCCTTGTTGAATCTCACACAGTTGGCCTTGGCCCATTGATCCAGGCTGTCCTGATCCCTCTGCAGAGCCTTCCTGCCCTCCAGCAGATCGACATTCACACCCAGCTTGATGTCATATGCAAAGTCACTGAGGGAGCACTTGATCCCCTCATCCAGGTCATTAGTAAAGTTATTGAACAGGACTGGCCCCAGCACTGAGCCCAGTGACCAGCCACCAGCAGGATGGCACTCCATTCTCCATAGTCTCATTCTCTGGGTCCAGTCATCCAGCCAGTTTTTCACCCCCACAGGGTGAACCTGACCAAGCCACGGACTGCCTGTTTCTCCAGGAGAATGCTGAGGGTATCTGAAAACACTCTGGGAATATCTGCAGGTAAATAGAAATATGATACTAGATGAAAGTGGCAAAATCGTTAATGCCGAGGTAGCAAAATGTCTTATAAGCATTACTATGGTTGTTTAACACATTATATATATATTTAATATTTACTGAGTTGGCAATAATTAATTCCAAACCTATTGGTAACCAGGGACAAGTTCTGTAGGCCAACCAGCCAATACCCACAATTCTTGAAAACCTGGCTTACAAACATCCCTCAGCACCGTGATGTTAATTTTTAATACACTGTAGAACATTGAGGAATTTGATAAGACTGGGGAAATCTTAATGTGGAGTCAACAGTCAAAAAGGGCAAGAGAAGAATGGAGGGTTCTCAGCCTGACAATACTCCCAGGAATTATCACAGAAATGCTGAATCACTGTTAAATATATAAAACAATATCAATAAAATTCATGCCAAGAAACATAGGATTATGGGGACAAAGTATTTTTAAAGCAATAGTTTCATACTCTAATTAAATTACAAACGCCGTTGACAAAGGTAAGTGAATACCCTACAGAAATTCTGGCTTTTGTAGAGTTTGTGACTTATTACCTCATAGCACTGTGATTTAAATTGCATTATACCTTGACAATAAAGTACCTATTCAACGATTTGAGGACTGTCTGAGGAATCTCAAAAAGGAACAAAGAACAGAATCATCATTCAGTAGGAGGATTTGGTGTGAGGTTCTGCATATATCATGAGTAAACAGAACGTGATTTTACATCTCATCACCGATGTAGAAATAAATGCAAAATACTTGAGGTGAACTTTGCAAAGACTGGTAGAGAAGCAGTAATATTAAATAAAGTGGATCCCTTCTAAATTATACCTATTCAAACTGAATACATTTTAATTCAGCCAAATAGAGAGTAATATGTTAAGGACCAAGAAATGCAGATGATATCTACAAAACAAGACACTGCAACTGGGAAAGCAGGGACCTTGAGGAAGATTAAGGTTCACTGTGGATAAGCAGAACTATAGAAAAATAGGTGAATGCAAGCCAGGAAAGTGAAACACCTTCAAATGAGAAAGGAGGCACAACTTTCACTGCAGGTGTTTAACTACTGGAACAAACTACTAAGAGAAGCAGTAACTTCTCTATCTCTCAGACTCCTCACATCAAGAGTTGATGCCTTTTTGGAAAATGTGCTTTCACCAAATACAAACTGGAAGCCTTTGTACAAATGGAGGTCAGTGAAATAAATAGCCTGTGTTCTATAAAAGGTCCCACCATTACAATGTCTTGTATCTTCTGGCCTTAAGGTCTTTGGCTTTGCAAAAAGTTGCTTTTCAATGAACCAAAAAGATAGCAACATAAAAATGCAAATAGCAGAGATTTTCAAACCCAGAACATGGAAAATTTTTTCCCTACACTTTGTTGACTGGCTATGATAGAAGCTGCTGTATTCTTGGTCTCAGCAAGGATGCTACCTGCAAATCACTGCTGATATCTTTCTGGGCTTCCAAAATATCTGCTGGTTCTGTGCAAATCCTGAACCTGTGTAACCTGCCATGAATCAAGGCTAAGGTAAACTGAGCTTTCTTGCCACATCATAACAGAACTTGGGTTTGGTTGTTTTGTTTTGGGCGAGAAAGGATCACAGTGCAAAAGCACAGAAGGACTGCTACTCTCATGACTGAGCCTCACAGCTCTCTGGCCTTTGGAAAGGTGCTGAGACTATGGGCCACCTAATGCAGTTAAGTGGGAAACAGGAGCCATGGGGCTACTGGGAGAGCACATCTGTCCCACAGAAGAGAGCTCAGGAGGATGCCAGGCATATCTAGAGCAACTAATAGACCCTGGCCAGCTGTGGACGTACATCTCAGAGCAACTTTCCCAAACAGATCTGCTGATGTTCAAGAAGTGATTCCTGCAGGGGGCTCTCTAACCAATTTGGCCAAAGAGGTTCAGACTGAATTAAGAGGAAGAAGTAATTCTAACTCTCATTTTCTCTCCAGAGTGTTAGTATGTAAACAGTTTCCTTAGAAAACTGGAGTAAAAAAAAATCAGTATTTAAGTTTCTCTTCATACCTGTACTAAGTCCCTCAAAAATATAGTGGCTCAAGAGGGAGGAGAGAACTGTAAATGCCTAGAAACAAGCTCTGTCAACATACAATAAATACAATCACTCAAAACCAAATTAAGCTATTTATATGCAGTTCTGACACATAGAATTCAAGGTATAAGACACTGAGACATGCAGACCTTTGGCACACCTGCTAAAAGGATGTCTTGTTTGTCTTCACACTTGACAACAGAGATAACAGAGTTCTCTGTTGTCAGCTGGGAGGGCAAAGAGAGGGCAGTATGAAGAGGAATGGACAAGAGGGAGGGTGGGGCTGCAGCAAGTGTCTGAGGCTGGTATGGTTTGTCATGACAACTTGCACTGCCATATCCTGTTGCACTCGATCCACTGGTATTGCACCTATCAGCATGAGACAGCTGGAATTGAAGAGTCCTATCTCATGGTGTTAGTAGTGAAGTAAATCAAGCAATTCCCCTGACTCCACCCTGCCACATCACAGGCTGTTTCTATATATGAAGAGTTTTGTGAGAAGACACTGGAGAAACGTAATCATGTCTTTGAGTCTGAATCTTTGCATTAAAGCAGGCAGTTTGTCAACTACAGTAAGACTTACACCCAGGCTTTGCCTTTTGACCAAATTAACTAGTTCTGGTTTAGAATATTGTGTGTACATATATATACACACACATATATGTATATACATGTGCACATTTATATTATTGTCAGTGTGTACGTGTAAATAAATAGACATATTCATGTAACAGTAGGACACTGGTGATAAGAACACCAGAGCAAGAACCTCTAATTTCTGGACAAGGAAGAGGAGTCCATGAAAAAAACACAAATGGGTAAGAAAGAGAAGTGTGTAAGAGAAAAAGGGAGTAAGGGAAAAAGGGAGACACTAGTTATGTGTTCAGAGAGTCTCGGAAAAGGCAGGAAGGATATGTGAGGAAAAAGGGTTTGGAAAGGGCTTTTGGCTGAAGAAGAACATGGGGAAACAGAGGCAAAAGATAAATACAGAAGGAGCCAAATATAATGAAATGCCAGAGAAGTAAAGTAACAAATATCAGAAGGAAATTCACATTAAAAGATAGGAAGGGAAGAGGACATGTCTCCCTCCATGCTCACCGGTTATACTTCTCCATGTCATGTCTTTTGTTCTTTCTCATACACTTTCTTCTATTCTTACCAGTCCCTTATAGATATTTCTGTTAGAAGCATTAATGTAGACAATTCCCTCACTGCACCTCTGCCCCTACACTTCCCTCCCTCCCCAGCAAGAATGATAAGAGAGAAGACCTCTCACCTCTACTTCTCCCCAGTGTGAGCTTTTGTCAGCTTATGAACCACTGCCAGATACGTGATGCAAAGACAGGACAATTTACCATCAAACAGAAAGTCTCATTCTGACACACCCAAACTTTGTTTCCATCAGAATATGTTCCCCAGGGGATGGAGCTTTACAAATATATGCAGTGTAATATTAATTTTTACATGTTACTTCAAGCTGACATGCTGTCTGTTAGACGACTGTTTTTTCCTAACACAACTATTCCACTGGGAGGAAAATTAACTCTTAATATGCATTTCTCTTGTACTCTGCTAGGTTCCTGTTCTCACTGTCTTTCAGTCTCCCTCATATACTCCCTCTATCTGCCATCCTCATCCTTTTCCCTGATTGTTGTATCCCACTTTCATCCTACCTTCCTTATTTTGATTCCTTCTTCCATCCTGCCTCTTTTCCCTGACTGTCCTAATCTATACTTTCCTTTGTTTCATTTTTATTTATTTTTCTATTTTGCCAGTTTTGCTTACTCCCTCTCCTGTCCAATTCCCTTGCACCCAGAAAATAATGTTTTAGGTAGTTCTGCAGCTACAGAGCCATAAGAAGAGTCAGACAACCTATTCAGAAACACAGCCAGTCTGCCCCATAGAGCCATAAGCATCACATGCTATTCTGTAAGATGGTAATTTCAGCTCCCACAGAAATAAGGGAACCAGAAAAAAACCCAGAACCCTCTGGAAGCAGGAGTTCAGCATCTTTGGGAACCTAATTCAAGAATCTGACTGGGCCTACACAGTGCTACAGGTTTTGAGATGGATGTGCAGAGACTGCCCTTAAACTTCAATAGTTGTCTTGTCCAACTGTAGTGCTGTATGGCACTATAATCAGTAGGAAGAGAGTGGGGGGAATAGTTCCAAGGAATTAATTATTCCATAATAAATAGTTGTCTCAGGGTGGCTGTCAAGAAAGCCTCAAAACTAGCTAAATTAATAGCATATCTTTCAGACAGTAAAAGGTATGTAACATGAAACACCTGAGACGGGACAGGGTAGAAAAATGGTAGAAAGTAGAGGAAAATTGAGAGAGATGAGAAGGCTACCTTGTTTACTAGTGGACAGACTGAAAAAAAAAAAAAAAAAAAAAAAAAGTCTTTGCTAAATCAGCAGTACATAGGGGACCAGAGCTGCAGACAAGCTGAAGAGCTCCCATTGATTTCTCCCACATTTGAACTGCTCAGCATTTCTAGAAGGCAGAACCCTAACACCTCTCCTGAGCTGGGGACTAATCTAAGAGACTTGCCTTTCACAGCTACTGCTCTGGCCACATCACCCCCAAAATGCTGACTTCATTGCATTTTGCACAGAGCTGCTACTGCGGAGAACAGCAGAGTGAAGGAAGAGAGAATTAATGCTAACGCGTCTCGCAGAAAAGCAGTCAATAGCTGAGAAATCTGTCTCAGGCTATTTCCCTCACACCCTTCTGCACAGTATAATTTAATCTCCTGACAGCACGGCCTGTCAAGCCCCCGAAGGGAGCGCATGTGGACACACAGGCTGCTGCGTCTGGCTGCTGAGGCAGCGGCAGCTCGGCTCTATGGAGATGTACACAGCAAACCGCCGCTTGCCAACACTGGGAAGCACATGGACCTTTTTGGGGGCGTAGAATCAGCGCTGCCTTCTGCAGCTAGTGGGAATTGGCCATGTCATGTGTTTATCCACTCTGTATGAAGATATGGGACTTAAATCATCAAACATGGAGTGCAGTGCTGCTTAGCCAGTCGTACTATCTGCTCAGGTTCTTGTTCAAAGCTTCTCTGCAAGGCAGGGTACACAAGGACCATGTAGGAGAAAGGGTGAAAGGTAGGAGATGGAAATTTCAATGAAATTAAGAAAGGAGGAGGCAAACATAAACATATAGCATAGGCTAATAACAATTTTGTGAATAATCAAAGCTTTCTATGTGCAGGATGTCTCGAACCACTGCAAAATTGGTGGGTTTTATAGATAGCCTAGTCCCCAAACAGCACTCGGGATCTTCACTTGCTTTTTGGAATTAAGGGACCCATTATACTACAAAAGTAATGTGTAAAAAATTTTGACTCTGACTTAGAAACAGCATAACTGAATGCTGACTGTACCAAGACTTCTGGATATGCATCAAATGTTTGCAGCCTAGCACCTGAAAACTCCAGATCCTGGCTTGAGGATGGCTGGGAGGAGGGCTCAATTGGGAAAACTCCTTCAGCTGTTTTGGTCTACAGAGTATTTGCTGCACAGTACCTGGAGTGTTAAGAATCAAACCTCTTGTAAAGTAAAAAATGTATCTACAGAAAGAAAAGCATGCAATTTCCAGAATGTTTTCATAGACAAAACAGGATCTTAAATGGAATCTATAGTATATTTTTTTACTTTTCTGGATTTTTAATGGGTTTTGGTTTTTTGTTTGTTTCCTGGTTTCTTAGGGTTTTTCTCTTTTATTTCACTTGTGTAAAGCAGCTTCAAAATAGCCTGTGAGCTAGTAAATCAATAGAATCCTTTGTCCAGGAATGCTTTTGATTTGGTTCCCATGCTTAGTCTGTAACCTATGCTGCCTTTTCACTGGTCTCTGACAAGTGAGAACATTGTGACTTTTGAGACGAGATTAGGACATCCCAACAGTCCTGGAGTTCATTTTCTTCACTGGCCCTGGTCAACCCGGAATTGAAGAGCAGTCATTAATATGATTTATAAGGAATTCTGGAAATCTGATTTTACCCTAAATGAGAAGGTAGTTTCCATTTTCTAATAGAAATTATGGTGTAAAACTGTTCCTACCTTAGCCTTCATGATCAAAGACATATGAATTTTCTGTAATTGTATATTAGTCTCATCCTGCAACTATTATCTTCTCACATTTTTCCTGCTATTAAAGATATTGCACTGGAGAAGCTTTAGAAAACAACAAAAAAAATTACACTACTCGAGAGTAATGGATGCCTCTGCTCGAGGGCCACATAAAACCTTTTAAGTTAACATGTAACCTTACATGTTGCTGTTGACATTTGGAAGATTCTTCTGACATTTCTTTCTATTACTTCAGTGTTAATAAGTTTAAATAGGAAATGTTAGTCTTGGTTAGGAAGTACCTGGGTTTGAAGGAAATGTAGTGTCTGGGAAATGCCCCAAAGGAAGGACATTACAGATGGGACATTAAAGATTTGCCTCACAAATACGGGGCATGCACAGAAGCCAAGAGACACATAGAATCACAAAATAGCTTGAGTCAGAAAGACCTCTGAAATCATCAAGTCCAACCATTAACCCAGCACTGACAAGTCCACCACCTGATCATGTCCCTAAGTGCCACATCTACATGGCTTTTAAATACTTTAAGAGTTCCACCACTTCACTGAACAGTCTGCTCAAGTGCTTGACAAATTTTTGAGTGAAGAAATTTTTCCTAATATCCAATCTAAACCTCCCGTGGTACAACATGAGGCCATTTCCTCTTGTCCTATTACTTGTTACTTGGGAGAAGAGCCCAGTCCTCACCTCACTGCAGCCTCCTTTCAGGCAGTTGTAGACACCAATAAGGTCTTCCCTGAGCCTCCTTTTCTCCAGGCTAAAAAACCCAAGTTCCCTCAGCTGCTCCTAATACCACGTAAAACACATCTATTTCAATGTATGTTGTATTTAACTTAATATGTATTTCAGAGGAAGCGGCGAATACAAACATAGCAGTGATTTCACTATTAAATTTGTATTTCTGAAAAAAAAACCCAAACCAGACACCACCTATGAGCAAGTATGAGTGGGAAGAGGAAAAAAGAGGTAGTGTTTGGGCTGGATCATTGCTAGGTGAAAGGAGACAAATCAATTTTTTTGTGTGTGGAATTTAGTGGTTTGTGGCAAATTTCCTCCCCATTTTACCTTTTCTCTCTCCATTTTAAGGTGAAGGGTGATGCTCCTCAAAGCTGCTGTCAGTGGAGATGTTGAGTAGAACAAAACCCCTTTGACTCTACTTCCCATTGTACTTTTCCTTCCAATAAAAACTACTGGTGGTGGGCCAACTTCTCAAGCCTCTTGTCACACATGTACTGACATGGCTGAACAAGACCTCTCCCCACCCCTCATTCAGATCATGGGGAGGAATGTGAGGAGACAGAAAGGGAAGGGATAACACAGAAAGTGGAGAAAAGATGGGGAAAAGGTATAGATAGAAAACAGTCTAATAGAATGACAAAGCTATTATTCTCAGTTATAGAGAACCTCACCTTCAGGAAATTAGGTAATTTGGAGCTTTTCAAAAGAATTATTAAGGAAAGGCAAGAATTATTACCTAGTACTATTTACTTTATAGGGAAAACTAAAAAAGCTAAATAGGACAGCTAAACAGAAAAATCAAAAAGATATGTGCACAAGCTGTCCTTTGTACAGTTGGATCACAGAGGACACTAGTCCTGGAGCCCACTATATAATATCATGATTATGGTTAAACTTCAAGAGCAGATATTTAGATTAGATTACCTGGAAGAAATTCTTTTACTGTGAGGGTGGTGAAGCACTGAAATGTGTTGTCCAAAAAACTTGTGGATGCTTCAAACCTGGAAGTGCTCAAGGCAGGCTGGCTGAGGGCCTCAGCAACCTTGGTCTAGTGAAAGGTGTCCCTGCCCACAGCAGAGGTGTTGGAACTAGTTGATTTTTAAGACCACCTCCAGCCCAAACCATTCTATGACTCTGTGATAGTGAGACACAGACCTCAAAATGTTCTACACACGTTGACTACCTAAAAAATACATAGGGACTGCAAAAGGCAAGCAGTGGTGGAGAACAAGAGAAATTCTCCAGATGGGATACAAGTGAGTGCACATCTATCTGAGTGATATTTTTCTACCATGTATACTTAAGCAAATATTTAGGAACAATGGGATGACAATTAGCATAATAAATAATAGAGTGATTTCCATGGAAGCTGCTCTAATTCTGACTGACCTAGGCAAAAGTTCCCTTGCTTCCACATGAACCTTTAAACTTGACTGAAGTCTGTATTTGAGGAAACAATAGTGAAATATATTATCTAGGGAAGGGACATGCGGTGATCACTGCACCTTAGAGAGGAACCTCCAAGCTCTTGCTAGTTCAGCTCTGGTTGGCATTATCTCCATCTCCTCCTGCTTTCATACACAGGCTCATGAATGATGCTATTAATCAGCATCAAGTCCCCAGAGCACCTCCTGCTCTGGAATGCCACTGATGAGCAGATGGGATTTTTGGCAAGAAATGACCTGGCACAAAAATGAACATAGAAAAAGAGTACTAGAGGGGAGGGGGAACTGCCTGGAGTTCCTCATTTAAAAGAATGGAGGAGAAGAGATTTATCTTCTCTTCTGATACCACATTCCAATGTACAGTCATCTAAGGAATTATCAGAAGCCACCTGTGCACATCAACACAGGCCAATTTCCTTCCTTAATGGTCTGGTATATCTATATTTGTCTGGGTATATTTAATAGGTAATGCTAGCAGCTACCTACAGTGGTTCAATGCAGGTTAACTAAAAATTGTTGACTCAGCCTCTTGGCTGGGCTCTGCAGCTCACAGTGATGTCCAGGCAGATGCTGTGCTAAGAACCCAACTGGCTATTTTAAACTAGCAGGGATACAACTGTCTGAACAGCAGCAGTGTCAGCCTAGAAGAAGGCCTGACCTAAAGTCTTTTGAAGCCTGTTTCTCACCCCTCTCCCACATATCCTTTTGCTCAGCAAATAATAGACAGGCCTCCCCCTGATACTCCTGAAATTCACATACAGGAGGTGGGAGCTCATATTCTTCAGTCATGAAATTAGTAAGATATCTCAGGAAGTTTTTCCACATTAAACATTACAGGAAATTGCCTCACTGTGAGTGAAAAGAAGATTCAGATCTTATGGGTCAGGGACTACTCAGATTTAATTCTGTAAATCTCACTGGTGGTTGTGGAAGCTGGGGAGACATCCCAGGTTACATTCTGCACCTTTGGAGTGCTACAATGCTGAAAATCACATTACACATCTTGGATTCAAATACACATATAATACTTGAAACAGCAAAAAAGAGTATTTATTTCTGACATATTTCTCCCTTTTTTAAGAAATCTTCTGTCTTCTTGCTCTTACCAAATAAAACACACAGCAGAACACAGAGTTATTCTGTCAACAAAGCAGTGTATCTGCAGTCTAGAAGACAAACACCTGCTCAAGGATCATTAGTGGAGAATGGAGAGGGAAATCTTCCCTGTCCCACGCTTTCCCCTCACACACAGTTTGAAGACACATGGTGCATCATTTGGTGATGCACACGGCACAGAAATGCTGCTTTCTATAGCTCGTGGCATACAAGGCTCAAGAACCACTTTACAAACACTAACAAATGAAACTCTGTCTCTATAGCACCAGGGTTATCACCTCTCTTGATTTTACCCTAAGTCTCTCAACTTTACTTGTCCTACTCTATTTTATGTGAAGCCCAAACTCTCAGAAGTCAAATGATGTGCAAGATCCATGGCTATATAATTGGGCAGCAGCTGGCAAAAATCAAGCTTATGATTCAGAAATCTGAAACTAATTGAAAAAGTTCCCACTTGAGAGGAAAAAAAGTCTTGCTTCTTATGTAAATTCTCTTATTGCATGACTGGCTTCTGATTTCTAATTCTTGGGCTGGTAAACTGGAGCATTTCTCCACTAATGGGCAAGTACTCTTATCCCTAGCTGGCAGATCAGAAAATTACAAGGCAGCACTAAACCTGGCTACAGTATAAGTGAGTATTCAACACAGCTAAATTCCTTTTACATACTGCAGCATTGAGCTGTGCCTGCAAAAAGGGCAAATGATGCATTTAAGAACAAAACATGGGCAAACCTGGAGCAAAATCCAACTGTCTTACTCTTAGCCCAGTGTTTCAACATCCAAGCATGCTCTTGTCTGAACTCGTAATTCAGGAAAAAACCCTCCTATTTTAAAATAAAAATCTGCAAGCCTCCCTGCAGATATATTTGAAGAAAGAAAAACCTAGTAAAAACCACTGGAGCCTCTCATACTGTATTAGGGACCTGAAGAGAAAAAGGAGTACATTTTTAAAGGACTTTGAAGGTAGTGCCTCCTGTTTAGATTGCAGTAAACTAGGGATAATTTCCCAGCCCAAGCAGCAGCAAGAACAACAGCAGCACTTCTAGACCCACATGATGCAAACCAGCTCAAAAGACAGCAGACAACAACAGGATTAGGGACATTTCCAGGAGCTAAGGAGTTAAGCAGATTTCACTCCCATTCACATCCTCACATCCTCAGGAAGTCATTACAGAGCCATCTCTAGCATAGCTGGGACCCAGAGAGCTTTTGTTTGGCTTGCAGTGTGTGACAGGAGCTGGAGCCCACAGGCTGTTCAGTGCCCACTGAACAGGGTGATAGGAGCTGTGTTGTGCACTGGGGAGCTTGCACATCATTCCCAGTGAGTGCAGGGCTACTGACTTTCCACGGACAATACCTTGCTGTACAAACAAAACAAGAATCATACATTCTCCTCTGACTTATCCTGCTGTCCCCCTCTGTCCCACTTCCCCCAGGATGCCACTGAAAGCTGGACACCTGGAGGAATAGAGCAATTGCTCTATACCACCCAAACGTGAAGGAAAAGAAACAGCAAAATAAAAATATGGCAAATGCAAAAAATAAATAAGCTCTCCCCTAAAAAGCTTAAAAAATAAAGAAACATTTGCAGGCAGTTTAATTTCAACACGTATCGAAAGGGAACAAGAAGACTGGATGGTGTTAAGGTCCATAAAGTAGGTTATAAACAGTTCCACAAGGGCAACACCATATATTGTAACATGCAATTTTATAGAGACCTTCAAATTAAAATAAAAACACTGGGTAGTTGGGGCTCTCTCTCATGACTATGAAAAGTCAGGAAAGAAGAGATGGTACCAAGAATTTATAAACTGCAGAGGAGAAAGAAAGCATCAGAAAAAAAGGAGCTAGTAAACATTTTATTTTAAAATATTGTTTTATTTAAAAAATAATTTGGTGGGTTGCTTCAATTTATTTCCAGGTTAAAAAAACTGACTAAGGCTTCTGTGAGCTCTCTTCAAGGCACAGCTATTAAGTAATGGAAAAGACTCCTTTAAGTAATAAGTAATCAAGCCAGGAAATAGGGAGGGATTTTAGGAACTAAATACCCTACATAAATTAGTAGCTGTCTCTTAGATGTCTTCTGTTCTCTTTTTAACCCTGGGGAAGAGAAGGGGTGAAAGAGATAAAAAAATAGAAACAAAATCAGAATAATGCTTTGCCTTTCCTTGCATCTGTCAGGCTGAGAGTGAAAGCCCTTCTTGGAAGATGAAGGTCGGGGGAGACAGCTACAACAAACAGGTGAGCATCCAGGAAACCAGAGGTCCTTCAGACTTCCCAAAATGGAGGAGCTTGGCCTCATGTACCCTGCATTGATCTACTAGCACTTCCACACATAAAAATTGATCAGATTGAATCTATCCTTGCTCACCCGAGGGATTCTGCCTCTAAGCCACTTCTCTTTGCTCCCAGACCAGTAGATAATGTGAGCAAACTTGTCAGAGCAATGATGTGGGCACTGTGGCAGAGCTCCCTGCCATAGTGCCTTTTGAACTGGATGTTGACAGCTCCCACCTCCTCACAAACCACAGCTGAACCCATGAGAAAAAGCAATGAGCTTGCACCAGATGAAGAGGACCTTCCTGGTCTGTAAAAAACCTCATGGGTGAGCACAGAGTACCTCTCCCAAACAACCTATAGCTTCCTGGGATGCAACCATTATCACCAACACTACATATATGGCCAACTGGAACATGTGAAGCAGGTTAATGAGGGGACAGAAATCAGCCATGCATGTAAGGGATAAAATCTGTCCTGTAAATGAACCATTTCACAGACTGAATCCCCTTCTGAGAAGGTAAGTTTATCATTCGCACTTTTCACAATGGAAAACAAGTGTTTCTTCTTTTCTCTCTTCCTTTCAATTTCTCTTTCTCTTCCCATCAGTGGCTATTGTGTGTTGTGTGGGCTACATTCTGTCTACTGTAAAATCCTCTGAGTGCAAAACAGAAGGTTACAGCAGAAATACAGCTGGCACGGAGTGCCAATTCACTAATTTCATCCTCTATTTCTTTCTCTCCACGAGCCAAGCTCTTGCTCCCTGCTTCCACACACACACAGAGCAGCACACTTCTATATGAAAGCAACATTTTATAAAAGCAGCCTGAATTCTAAGTGAATTCCTACTCCAGCTTTTACCCTAACACTTTCTCTTGTCCTAAATCATGTAGCTTTCATGTAGCTTTTCCCTAGGTAGTTCCAAAATAACACTTCCTAACTGTACCATATGGCTGACAAGGGACAGCCAGCCATAGGTCACACTCAGACAAATTCCAGCAAAGGCTTATTCTCTGCAAAGAAACATTCGAGCACCTTCTATTAACACTGCTGTTTGCATTAAACTATGGAGTCACAACCTCAAATAACAGGAAACATTTGCCAAGGAGACAAAGGAAAAACCAACAGCCTAGTTAAGGCCCAAATCCCACAGTTTTATTCCGGTTTCTGGTTTTGAAGCCTTCACTCCCCTTTATAAGCCAATTAGCTTTATATACCTAGTGGCTCTACTACTAAGATTTCCTTTCTTTACTTCTGACCACTTGGCTCAGTATTCCCAAATGCACTTATATAGAAAGAGGCAACTAGCCAATTACAAATGCATCCTTTTGTTGTTCATGTTATTTCATCTTTCACAGATCCCAGTTCTCAATGTCATGTAGAAGGTAAATCATCATCTCCCAGGAATCCATATGAAAAGAACCAAAAAGCTTATTCACTTGAGACCTTGTTTATCTCCTGTTCTGATGATTAACACTGTGAGCAAGGAGGGACTGATGCAATCTGGGTTAAAACCAATATTCATTAAGTGACAGTAACAACCCTCACGCCTTCAACTGAAGCAGACAGATGCTGTGGGTCAGGCTATTGCTTTCCTCACACCTTTTATTTCAAATGAGATAATGCTCCTAAAAAGTACAGTGCTAACAGCCTTAGATAGAAGCCCATCATGTGCATAGACAGGTAACACAGGAAAGCAGCAGTGGTGACCAAACATCTGAAAAACCTGACCAAGGGGGTCAGAGTTTGAGGAGAATTCTGGGTGTTTAGTCCCCAGGAAGCTGAAAAGAGGCACAGCAGTCTTGAGATGTATGAAAGGAAACTGTGGAAAGGCGAGCAATAAGCAGTTCTCCTTGCTCACAGGGAACAGGTCAAGAAACAAGTTTAAATTGATTGTACTGAGCAAGACACAGGTTAGACCTTAGGAAACTGTCTCCAGCAGCAGCTCACCATGGGAGCAGAGAGCCTAGGCTGACTGCAGAACTTCCAGGGCAGAACAAAACATGCAAACATCTGGCAGAACAAGTGTGAGGGTGGCTGGTTCTGCCTCCACACAAGGCAATCCTGCCTGGCCAGCAGAGATGGGATTCAGGTCATTTTCCAGTGACTCTCAGATGTCAGCATTATAACCTTTGCATTGCCAATGTGTTTGTACTCTCAACTGGCAATGCCAACACCAAGGTTTATGGGCTCTTTCCCTGCCCAGGCCATTCAGTGGATGGTTGTACTGCTCAAAGTGCCAGCAGAAATGCTACACAGTGCAATTTGCACTTTAGTGTTGCCAGCATCAGTCTATTTGCAAAGGAACTACGATCAACTAATGCAGGGTATTTCAAGTGATCATCAAAAAAAAGACTGAAACAAACCAGAAACAAAAGAAATCACTTCCAAAACTCTAAATAAACAACATCCATACCACAGTGCTCCATGCCTTTCTATGTTTTAAAGACCTGGTCCAGATATGTCCATCAAAGAGACCAAAAACTAGTTCATGATGTAGTAAGGGAGTATTAAAGGACACCCAGGCTCCAGAGGCATGCAAAGCATATGCACAGTGAGAAATTTACCACGAACTTCCCTAAATATGTCTATAGCTTTATCAAAATCCTGGCTACTCCACATAGCTCTGAATTGCACTTGGTGGCTGTGGGTCATAGTCCTTCCCTTTTGATTACGTCCCTTGTGCCAAAAATATGAGCTGGAAGTACCCACAAGCCAGCAACTTATCTTTATCCTAGTAACTTGGTTGCAAAAACTTGCCAGCCTACCCTCTACAGGAGTAGAGAGATTGGGCAGTGGAAAAATTGGGTACACCTACCCATGCATTGTGGGGTGTGCAATGGAAGAAAATTAGGAGGACACCAAAAAACCAATTTTTTAGAGTTCCCATTTGATTCCAAAAAAGCTACAGCAGTCTCAACAAAGTAAAAAATGCCTCTGTTTTCACCAGTGTCACCATAATCTCTGCCACTGGTACTCAATGCTCCTAGAAGCAGAGTGGAATAATCTCTGGGATCTCTAGACCAAATTCCTCTGGCACCCTGACACCATATTCTGCCTTCTGAACGCAATGTGTTAGGAGAAGCAGGAGAAAACCAGAAAGATGTTGGTGTCAGTGACAATGGTCTCTGTGCTGTGAATGATGAAAAATAAAAATGGCATTGACACATCATGACTACGGTGATGATTGTATTGCCTGGAGTTTAACAGATGAGGGAATAAATCAGTCTTTTGTCACTGACAGGATGACAAAAGGAGCTTGTAAAGGATCTAAGTACCATGCAATTTTCCATTTTGCCTCTTCCAAGTTCCCCCACCTCTGCAGCTGTGAGTTCAAAGAGAAGTGGTAACCATTCAAGGATATGCTGACCAAGCTAATTCGCTTTACTTGCTCCCAAATCCCTCATTTATCCACTATATCTTAAAAGGCAGCCACTAAGCCAGTGGTCTAACGAAGACATTATTGTTATTAAAGCAGGGTCCTTGGCATTGTGGTGCAAATCAGCATAACAGCATCACAACCTGTGGGTGTATTAAAACAATTGCTTTTATCATTTCAGTTTAGGTCTCCAGAGATTGAAGTCTCTTATTATGAAATTCCTCTCAAAAGTCATCCTGCTGTATGTTATAAGGATGAACCCAACTCCAAAGACCACATCTGTGATTTTCTTTGGATAATTCTGAAAAGATCCAGCATGTCCTAGCTCTCATAAAACATTAACACATTTACATCTACCTTGGTTTTCCAGTTATATAAATACATTTTATCACTAAATGATAATCTGGTTAGTTACAGTGACTTGCTCAGGGAAAAAGACAGTGTATAAGTGGTCGGTCCTGCACTTTGTAAACTGCCTAAAGTGCAAATTTAAATCATTCTTGTACACAACTGCAAGAGAGTAAGTTATAAATCAGCAATTTTTCAGTTGCTGAGCAGCCATATATTATGCCCACACATGCTGTCATTAATTTTTTGCAAAGAATAGGAATTCCCTCACCTTCACGCATGAACGTCAGGATCCCTGGTACCCAGTGTTCTCTTCTTACAGAAGGAACCAACATTATGGAAATGCCCTAACCATGCCATACAACTGGGGCAGGAATTCCAGCACCTCCTCCTTCTGGCCTCCTTTAATCACCTGCAAGTAGATTACGTGGTTTGTGAATAAAGCATACAGCAGTGCAGAGATGTGAGTTAGCTCTGTCTAGCTCTGTATAGATCCAGGCAGGAGGGGTAGCCATGAGTCAAACACACGGTCCTGCTACCAGACCAAGAATCTGTGTGTGTGCTCAGCATCCATTTGTTACCTACACAGCTCAAAGCTGACACGCTGCTACACGCTGCTCTGTCAGTTGTGTGGAGGACAACTCCTTTTCCATGCAGAACATGTGTCTGTTGATGGAGCAGCCAAGAAATATTTAAGCACAGAAGTACACCCTGCTGGATGAGACCAGTCTTAACTGCCTTCCCAAGACTCACTATGCCCTTCCAGGCCACTCTTCCAACACAGCTGTTCTTGGAAGATCTGCCCAGGGGCGGGAGATCCACCAAGTACCTTCCTGTTTCGCTGGGTCTGTGCAGCTCCAAGTACTGGCTCATCCCTGAGTAACAGGTACTGGGCGGAACAGACCAACAAGCTTGGTCAAAGCACCCAAGTTAGTTCTGTAACAGGTTTGCTTTTGAGAGTGGAAACTAATACCATCTGTGGGTTTCCATGACTGGAATTATTGTTAAATGAAGTATCAGGGAGTTTTCAGTATACAGTCAGCGTTGATGTACCAGTGCAATTAGAAGAGCAAGGTTTCAGTACTCTTCTCATGACTATTTTAGCTGCATCCATCTGAAAACAGCTGGTTCTTTTTCAGGCCAGACCAATACAAAAGAGAATCAGACACGTCAGTGCAGGGATTTCTCTTCAAGTCTGGTCCTTGGATCTTGCTGAGTTTATGTGGTTAAGAATAGCAGTCATTGCATTTCTGACTCTGGCCTGGGGACTCCCTTTGCACTGCAGTGCTCTACTTCTCAGTGCTGGAGTGAATATTGCTTCTATTTCTGGCTTTTCAGTGAGTCTCCCAAAACCTCTGAATTCCAGCTGTGATGCTACTGTACAGAGTGGCAAACTCCAGCACACAGGTTCTCCAGAGACGTGCCACAAACCATGTGTATCTTGCTGAGCATCAGCTGTTTGTTTGCAAAGAGCTGCCTGATCATAATTCCCCACCTAAAAATGTATTACATGCCCTCTTAAAATTACTTTTTTCCTCAGTAGACAGTTGCCACTGCTGTCACAGGGAAATAATGTGTTTTTCAGCATCTGGGGGGAGTTTGTTCAAGATGGCAAATCCGTAGGAGAAGAGCACCAGCAATTCTTTTTATATTAAAATATGGTTTGCAGTTGTGAAGGAGACTGAAAAGACTTGTTGTGCAGTAGCTGAGAAGGGGCTGATGCTATGAATTACATCTTGTCCAAGATGAATAACAAGTCCTGCGGTAGTCCAGCTGAAGTAGGCCCCAATAGGATGTGTATTACAAGAGGCTGAATGCCATTTCCACTCTAATTTGAGTGTCTGGATGAGAATATAACACTGTGTGCTTTCTATAGTGGTAGATAGGTGATACAGAGTCAATTTTATGCTGCTCTCTGTGCTGTCCTCTTGCCCTATGTTTCTATAACTGAAATAAAATGTTTTCCTGTTTTGACTGTGCCAAAGAAACCATGAGCAGCTCCATTTTGCATGCTCACCTTGCAACCCTAAGAATCAGCCCCCAAAATAGCCAAGGCAGAGAGGCAGTATGTCCTGCCCCTTTCTTCTGCCATCCTGAAGACACCCTGATCCCACCTGAGAAGCTTCCATAATGTTCTACACCTCAGCATAGCAGCAGGCCTACTATCCAATACTGTTAACATACCTCTGTGACCTAAAATCCACAATCAAAACAGCAAATACTGGCCCGTGGTGTCAGCTCGCCAGCTACTGTGATGACAGCTCAGAATGAGCTGACACCACAGACAGCCTTGATATGAAGGTAGAATAAAATATGAGGCAGGAAGTGAGGCTATCAAAAGGAAACATGAGAGAATGCTATGTAAGGCAAGGTTCTTTGAAAATATGCTGAAAGACTGAGGGTGAAATAAGAAAAGTTTTCAGCTTCCCACTGTGAGACTTCTCTGTTTTACCCTGTGATGGGGGCTCAGTAGGGACAGGCCCAAGCTGGGTAATTTCCATCCTATCACCTGCACAGCTCTCTCCTAGAGCCTGAAAAATGATCTTTATGATAGCCTCGCAAAAATAATGACAAACAAGTGCAACTCAGATGAAGCAGTGAAATGCTGAATTCCTTCAAAGTGGGGTGGGCAACACTGACAGGGAAAAGGGACTTGCAAAAAGACAGAGAAGACCACAGGTAGAGAGCTCTGGTGAGCCATACCACCTGTGGCAGGTGACTCAGGTAGAAGGAGTGAAGGAAGACATGTGGCATCTAAAAATGAAGAAAAAAGAGCTGGGTAGGAGGCAGGAGGAAAAGGGCAAGGCTGATACAGCCACACAGGCTGATTCATTCCAATGGCAGCTACAGTGGCACAAACCTGAGCCATAATGGAGTGGTGAGTCAGCCCCTTATAATTAGCCCTAATTGGCAACCTAGTGAAAGCAGGAGGGTGAGAGAAATAGCAGAGCAAATTCTGTGCTATATGCACTGATGCAAATCTATAATGCATAGTTTAAAAATTCATCTTATCAATGTTTTGTTCAGAAAAACTAAATAAACCCAATTCTGTATAGGCAAAGTGCTTTTTGAACCACATGAAGAATCCTAAATGTTTACCATTTTCATTTTGCAGTACAGCCATTTGCAGATCTTCAGGATTAATATCATGGTGGTATCCATATTTCTAGTAATTTTTCAGGAGACATCACAAGCAGAAAGGAAGTTATTTCTTATGGTACAACACAGCCACTAAAAAACAACCTCTAACTATTTTTCATTCAATACAACCTATTTACTTGACAGGCTAAATGTATCAATACAAGTTGAAAACTCTATTTCTGGGAAGACAGATTTTATTGTGCAATTTTCATCAACAGCTATTTACAGAAAAGAGATGGCCCTGTGAGTCAGGACATTGGCCTTTGGGAACCTGAATTCACGCTTTAAATGCACACAATGAGTTTAGTAATTTAATTCTCAGCCAAAAAAACCCATCAATACATTTCACAAACACACATCCCTATCCAATGTGAATGGCAACTTCTCCTCAAGATCTAGGCATGGAGCACAGAAGTAGTTACTACAAGTAAAATTGCTTGGGAGATTTAATGTATTTGCAATAGGGCCTTTCATCTGTCTACCACATGGCAGCATATCAGTTGTATCACGCCTGTTGCCATGCTGATTTAATGAGAGCTCAATACAGTCATGTATGTACTTGCCATGGAAGAAAAGCCTTTTCTCCCTAACTGGGGATGAGGGCACTCAATGTCTATGAACCCTCATGGAAATTGAACTACAGTCCATGTTCTACTATTAGAAGTCATGGGAGACAGGTTGGGTTATGCCAGACACTCTTCGTGCCTCCAAGTGTTGGCTGTGTGTGGAGCCCCACTGGGTCTGAAGCTTCTAAAATCAGCTGGATCCACAACTTCTCCATGCAGAATAACTCTACTAACACTGCTCTCTCCCTAAGCTCAAGAATATCCCACAGACCCAAGTGGCTACACTCCTGGTGGAGGTGATGTGACCCACACACAGAGCATCATGCACCACTGAATAACTCTTCTGGTTTCAGGCTGCCCCTACATCCAAACCATGGATAACCAGCAAGGATAACCAAGCAGCACCTTCCTATGTGTTCACTCTGCATCATGTGGCAACAGAAGCAAGGCAAGGCTCTCTCAGCCACTGAACTCACAAGGTAAAAGGCGAGCCTTCCCAAACTGCTCCATCCATGCTGACAGACCCCAAATGACACCCACCAACTGCAAAGCCAAGTCCAAACTCCTCTTAGAAGTGGAAGACTGGAGTTAATGTGACACTGAAGTAAAGGAGGAATCTATCTTGTGGAAAGGGGAAAAACTCAGCACCTAACAACACATTTCTTGCTGTCAAGCTCATCAGCATCAGACAGGTATCTGTTCCATAGTTGCTACCCAAAGGCATTTATCTCACAGTTATGAGTTAAACACAGCAACCTATCTCTGGATAACAGTTTTTTACATTAAAAAAAAAAAAAAAAAAAAGCCTCATTCTAGAGAAAGAAAATGAGGAAGAGAAACAGCAAAAAAGGCAAGTGAAGGTGCAAGGATAGAGCAGGGACTCTCTTTCACTGCCACACTTCCCATTTGGAAGGACAAAAAAGTGGAGAGAAACTTTATTTTAAAGTCTTCTATCAATTATTCTTTCTGACTCAGAGCCTTCAAAAATCAAAAATCAAATGGGCTTAACAGTGCAGGACACCTGCTGAGCCAGAGACCATCATGCCAAACTGACCTCCAAATGTACAGGTTATTTACAAACTAATGGAGGTAGCAAGCAATTCCACTGCTGCAAGGGCTCTTTCCAGCAAGAGGCAGATCAGGAGACATCACAGGCTGATTTAATAGATCATCGAAGCCAGTGATTGAATTTTCTCATCAGACATCAATCTCGCTCCTCGGTCAGTCTTTATTACATAGAAACAGTTATAGAAGGACCTCTGTGAAGAAGCCAGAGAAAGACCTGCATTTCAAAGTAGTGAGTGAGTCAAGGTGGAAAAATTATATCTGTGATTCACCAGAGAAGAAAACTGCTCATTTCAGTCAGGAAGAAATACTGACTAACCTAGGCAGAAGGAGAGGCAGGAAATTGGGGTGGCAAGGGGACTAGTGTTTAACTGCTCTTTGGATTTTTATTGATGTCCCAGTAATTTCCTTTTACTTTACTAAAGGCTCATCAGTGTCTTTGGAAGGACTTTTAATGGGATCTCCTGCTGGAGAAAAGGTAAATTTAATTCCATCTCAAACTAGTCTTCCTTCTTTTAAATTCTCATTAAAACAAGAACAGATGTCAACAACAAATTCATGTCTGTCTCATAGAAATTACTTATTTCCTGCTTGGACCCCAAGCCTGGGAGATAACAAATGTTCTCCACTGCTACTGCACAGTGAAGCTCAGAGGAAGGCCTTGGGGAGGATTAGACACCAAATGTCACTAGTCCTGATTATCTCCCCACCACCAACTGCCACAGAGAGCTTCTGAGAGAGGGTTGGGACTAGGATCTCTGGGGGTGGGTAGGAAAAGGCAGAACAGGAATGCAAAAATGAAGATCTCAACCAGATCAAGGAAATCTTTCCTCAACCCATATTTTGTTTGGGCTGGAGCTAGTCCCATCAAAACTAGTAAAAGAGGAAAATTAGAGTCATTTGAGGGAATGGTAAAAAGCAAAACTTTGAAGACTATTTTTCTGACCTATATTTCACCTTCTTGTACAGCAATTTTCTTCTCTCCTTGGTCTTTTAGAGCTAGGATGTACAGAACTATTTAAACAATGTGTATTAATGCAGCATTCATGCTGTGTGCTACCAATGAGCGATTGAAATACTCTCTCACCGATGTGCAACTGTGGAGAGCAAAACAGGAGAAGCAGGTTTTGGGGAAGAATTTGGCTGAAGCAGTGGGTGTGGATCCTGACCTGGCTGTCAGCAAAGGGAGGCTGAAGTGCAGCTTTAGGGGGGCTGAAGGCTGAGACTAGAAAACCTTTTCTCTGGGATGCATCATGCTGAAGAAATGATGGCAGAGTATTTGGAGGGACCCTGGTCACAAGTCAGTAACTGGGTCTTTACACCCATCTGGCATTCAAGCATCAAGAGCAAACCTGAGGATTCTGTGGCAAAAGAGTAAACATAGAAAGGTCTAACAGTAGAGAAGCCTAAATGGAAAAAAAAAAAAAAAAACACCTTTTTACAGAATACTGGAAAGTCACTTTGCCCCTTTTTGTGTTGTTTTTGTAATTCCTAGTTCCTCCTAACCCTGACAGCACAAAATACAACTATGCACGAAAAATACATGTAGTTAAAAAAATCCCAAAAACCCAAACAACCCAAAACAAACTGAATGCTTCTAGAAAATTTCTAGTTGGAAATCTAGAGAAAAGGATGAACCTGTTCCGCCTCCCTCCCTCCGCTTTCCCCAAACACATCCGACAAGAAGACACAGGTAACAGACACTGTCAGTTCCTGATCCACACACTCATTTTTGATGGAGAGAAATTAGAAATTCAGTTCTCACCCACCTCCACCCACCCACTGAAGCTGAAAATGATAGTTCAAAATAAAATGATGATGATATTTCCCTTTTAGTCTCCAGGGGAGCAGAGAGTTTTGGGGGTGGGAAGAGCAATTTTTCACAGTCTTTTCATGATTTTTACTTTTTTTCTATTTCTTTCTTTCTTTTTTTTTTTTGACCAAGTGTGAGACACTAAAAAAAAGTTCTGTATTTGCTTTGTTGAGTTGTGAAAGGCGTGAAAAAAAACATTTTGTGAGATAAGTAAAGAGCTGCTTCCCCCTTCCATCAAAGCTACTACACCCACAGTCCATGAAGAGCAGAAACCAGCGGGAATTGGGATATGGGAGCATGAAGAGCAGGAATACCATGTTTTTAATTCAGAAGTCGTCTCTGGCAGTCTTTTGCCCCTCTTGTCTCTGCTGGTCTCCATGGCAACAGCAGCCCAGCAGAAGCATCCTTCTCCTGCCAGCTTCAACACAGATTAATTCAACCAGGGGTCAAAAGCAGCCCAGCTTTCAGGGAAGCAAGAAAATGTGCTGTCTTCCTTCCTTCCACTGCCAGCCTCTTTTGAGATTGTTGTTTTCTCTTTTGTGCACTGGGGTGGGGGATAACCTGTCACACTTGTTTTTCCTCAGAAAAGAACTGAAAGGAATGTGTTTTCTTTTCAGTCATCTCTCCAGGCAGCCTGATCGGCCATATTGCATGTGGGCTGGGATACTCAGGACACAGACATGCCAGGAGAAAGCCAGGCTGGGATAGAGGCCTCCAGCCTAGGTGGTTGGACACACATGTCATGAGACTCACTGTGGGAGGGCTGCTCTAGCAGTCCCCACACTGGATTGATGAATAAAAGCAGGGGCTGCACTGCTGAGCCATTTTAACAATTGCTGCATTGCTGTTTGTTGCCATGTTCCTTAAATATCTTGTTTGAAAACCGAGGGAGCTCAAGTGACATCATCCAAATTGACAAGAGAAATTTGTTACTCTCTACTCTCCTGCATTTCTTCTATTTAAAATGTTTCAGATACCTGGTTAAACAGCAAAAGCACCACTGGAAAATCTACTCCACGGACAAGGCAGTTGTGAGCAGAGACCTTCACTGAGCAAAAAGTTCCACACTACTTGGACAATACTCAGAAAGAAAGCATTAGCCAAAATCAAAATCTGTCTGCAGACAGAAATGAACCATTTTCATTGAATATTTTATCTGGGGCTAAAAGTTCTCCCAGTTATCTTTCTGGTTTCTTTGGGTTTGAAAATATGCTTTGTGTAAGGCTACAGAGACATAAATTGTTAAATGGCTCAATATTTTCTGAACACATGTGTTACCACAGGACACTCATGAATATAAATAGAAGAGAACAACATTAGTCCAACATGCCGACATATCACCTTGCGCTGAGTGGTGTTCAGCATCTTGCTTAATCTGAAAGAGTCCTGGAAGAGAGAAGAATGGCTAAACTGCACCCTTGCTTCTTTACTCCTTCCTTCTCACTTTGTCTTTTATAAACTCACCAGCCCTCTCAATCCCCGCCTCTCGCAAATTTTAGATGAGGCTAGCACCAGGAAATATATCTAGGTCCACCTTGGCTCCAAGGCCAAGCTGTTTGCTGTCCCACCCTCAGTCCTTGTTTCTGTTACAGGGATGGGCAGGAGGAGCTGGTGTTGCTGCTGGAAGTCAGGAGCACTTCAGGCCAACAGAGTGTCACCCATCTGCATGATAGGAAACCACCCCTGGGCAGCGGGAGACTAAAAACTGTGAGACAAACATTTTTAACACTTTCACCACACGTGATGCCGTGTGAGACTCTGCTGCTAAGAGGTGTGGTATCTGACCATATCCTGAGGTTAGGTTCCTTGCTGGAGAGCAAAACATTTAAACGCTTCTGAAATGTCTTCTGTCCTCTCTCCAGGCTGGGAGGTGCCACCAGTTGCCTCTCTCCATCCTCTCATTGCCTTCAGATGTGCCTCAGAGAGTACACTGCTCTCCAACACCAGAAAGAGAAGAAAACTGTCTGAAGTACGAAAGTGCTCTTCAGGTGGCTGTGGGCCCTTCCCATCCTTGCTCCATTCCCACTCATTCCACCCGCTCCCAAACTTGTTTTCACATGTCACAACCACCCCTACTCTACTTCCGCAGGTCCCATGTAGTCTTCCTCAGCTTCCACCTGCCTACTCCTTGCTTCCTTTCCATCTCCACTCACTCGACCCACTCCTGTTCCACTTCCATGCGTCATTCCACTTCTGGCATGGGGAAGGGTTGACAGCCTTAATGCTGAGCTATTGCAGACTCCCCCCACTCCCTGCCCTTCTCTCTTCCCAATCTTGCACCTATTTATATTGATGATAAACTTCTATCTCCCCTTCACTATTCCCCTGATGGCCTAGAAAGCATAACTACTAATTTTGATTAACCATCTGGTCTCTGTTTCACAAACAACCTTCATGGCAGAGACTCTGAATATTTTGGAAAAGCTTTAAAAAAGCCAGTATTTCCTCAGCCCAGAGGTCACCACTACATGAAGCCCTAGCGTTACCTTTAAAGCATCAAAGACAGACAACCCTAGAGCTAGCAGGTTTGGGGGAGCATTGCGGTGCTGCCAGAGAAAGTAAAACATAGCTTTGTTTCCTCAAGATAACCAATATCAAACAAAGCCAAGGTGAAATTAAAGGGAATACAAAAGGATAAGGATTTTGATGAGCTGACAGGACTTTATTCCTTCCCAATACAGCTACATGAGGTACCCTTTTTCACATCTGTGGATTTTGACTGACA